CACAATGCTGGGATGGCTGGTTGCCCTTAATGCAGCTTTGCATGACCTTGGGGACTGCTCTGTAAGGGTCATTCTTGTTCTGCTCCTGGCCTGCAGTCCAAAGTCAGACAGATCTACATTTCATTTTCCTCCCTGGAAGAATTGCAGCCACTATCTGCTACAGGGAAAGTGAGTTGGGAGACTTCAGTAAACTACATCTAATATAGACAATTAGTGAAATGATCTACACTTGTCTAACCTTTGCTTATTTAAACAAAAAATCAGTGAGATGAAAAGGAAAACCTATAGACTTTTCAATAATGTGGCATTATTGCTCCACAAATGAGATAATGAGGAAGCATTGATCCTGTTGGAACAGCACAAATACATCCTGACAGACCGTGGCTACAAATGGTGCTCTGTTCACCTACTGACCTCCAGAAAGCAGCGTTTTCCAAGGAGGGCTTTTGGAGAAATGGGAACATGGTCCTGGGGCCTGGTGAAAGGTCTGGCATCCAGTTCCATAGTGTGAAAGTATGACTGATTAGTGAAGAGAAAATCAGATCACAGAGCAGGATGAACCTTGGTCCTCTACTGTTCTGATAGGAGTAAGTGTCCTCCCCAGGGAGAAGTCATATTCTTCCTATGGAGAAGCACATTGGAGCCCCAGGCCAACAGCTGGCTGTGATGCCAAAATATGAACTGTATTTACCTCTGTTGAATAGGGGAATATATCTGTTTTCAAGAATCTTTAGTGATACACTACTGTGTAGTGTCATTTAACTGTCTGAGAATTGTTTTCTTCTGTGGCAGGCCTGAAAGCATTTCTTCCTTATTCCTTAGAATTTTTAGTTCTTTTCAAGTTATTTCTGTTTATTGTGGGCCAGAGGGGTACCTGGCCTTTTGTAGCCTCTAGTCTGCCAGGATCTGTGGTTTCTTTTCCACTTATCCTCACTAAAGTGTTGTTTCAGTCATCCACCACACTTTCCCCTGAGCTCTCTGATTTTCTGCCTGCCTCAAAGCACTTCCAAAGCAAAAAGCCCATCCATTCATCCCAAGCCTGACATACTGCTGATCCCTTGTGCCGGTTTTATCCCTTCAGAAAGTACAACTCCTTTCCCTCAAATCCCCAAAAGGTCCTTTTTATACCTTTTCTCACTGAATTCCTTGACACAGGTGCCTTTGCTTCTGCAAACCCCCATGGCCACAACCCCAGCCTTATCCTTTGCTGTTTGACACTTCTTCTAGGGCTGGAAGATGGAAGTGTTGGCTGGTATTAAGGCATCTCTGCTCTTTTACTGTTTTCTGTGGTATCATTTATTCACAGGTTTCATCAAGTTGCTTTCTCTTTCTGCCTGAGTCTTATAAAGACGGTGAGTTTTTACAGAACTGGCTTACAATTTGTGAGTGCTGTGTCTGCTTCCCTGCCAGTAAACATCATGAAACCCTTTACATTAACTGATCTCTGCCCTAAAAGCCATTTCCTCACTGCCCTCACAGGAGGGCTGTTCAGGGCTGCACATTTTGGGCGGCTGGAAGCTTTTTTCTGACGTCTTGCCTAACTGAACACGCATCTCCCTGGCTTCCCGCTGCCTGTCTTAAGTTTCTGTATCTCTCCTGCCTCCATGGCAACATTTTCAGGCTGTCATCAGAGCATTGCTTTGCTCTTATTTGGCTCAGCTAACCATGACAAGCTCTTTGAATGTCTGCTTTTCTGTTCCCTTGGCCATCCCTTTGCTGCATCCACTCTGGTCAGAGGTGTCTTTTCTGTCCACTTAACAGTGAGCAGCACGGGCACCACTTCCAGCAGATCTTGCTAGAGGTTTCTGTTACAATGGTCTGTAGGGGAATAACTTTTTCTGGCTTATAATTTGATTTCATTTAACTTTCCTGTGGCTGGTGACACTCCAGTGGCTGTCCAGGCTAATCAGTGTACAAACAGTGATGAGTTTCCCAAACGAAGAGTTTCCAAATTGCTGCAAAAACACAGCTGATTAGTTCTTGGCATTTAGTGATTTTTCTTAATCAAACCTGGAACCTGTGCTTTTGGTAGTCAGCAGAAAAGCAAAATCTTTCAAAGCTTTGTCCAGTTCACCTTCCTCCAAAACACGGAGGCAGAATCCTGGCTTTTCTAAGGATGAAAGGAATTGGGAAAAATTCCCCTAGGCAGTTGAGCACTGCACCTGTAAGGGTATGGTAATGCCTGTAGGGCTTTGGGGGGATATTTTCTTCTGGACTGGGCTAACCAGGGTTGTCCCCACTGTGTAGACACCCTGTTCATGTTCCCCTTCCCAAAGGAGTGATGTGTAGTATGGGTGAGAAGACTGCAAAGTAATTTGATGCTGTGATAATGTCAGCACACAGGGAAGTGGGAGACTTACCCTAAAGCATTAATTAAATGTTTTGATGAAATGCTTGCAAAATACTTCACGACACTTCTTTAGATAGAAATTGCTGTAGGAATGTAAAGCAGTGTTAGAAAATGATTTCAGGTGATTGTGTCTGCATCCTGTAGCAGTTGAAGTTCTAGCTACAGAAGCAGGGCTTGAACGACAGCCAAGTCAGTAAAATCAGGATTACAGATACAAATTGCTGCAGACACATACATACAGAAAGAGATGAGTGAGATTCTTTCAGGACAGAAGACCGTCAATACTTTTTTCAGGATTATGCAATCTATTCAATAGCTTATTTTTCTGGATAGATCTGCTCTGGAGTACTCCCTGCAGTCTAATTGGCATGAATGCCCTCAGTGCTCAAATTAATTTTTTCCTAGCAGGGTGAATCTTTATCTCGTCCTTGTCCAGCCAATGCAGCATTACAGGTTAAAACTCAAGTTAATTTTTGTTGCTGTTGAATACCAGACACTGCAGAAAGATAGATAAAATGGTCCCTTTTTGATAATCCTGTTTTCCATGTAAATCCAAGCTAGGAAGGAGATTGTCTTAGACGAGGACAAATTGGGAAGAGCTCTCAGGCTGTCTGATCTCTCTTGTCTGCTTTGCAAAAAAGAATCAGATTAATGAACGTAATCAGATTAAGGCTAAAGAAGGGAACATATCCAGGGGGCATCAGAACTCTGCTGATACTAACAAACTGTATGGAAAATCAACGTTATGGGCCTAACATTGCTCTGTAATTTAATTAATGGGAGCAAATAATGGCTTTCAAAGAAGTCCTGAGTGATGGCAGGAGGAGCTTGGTCTTCCAGAGGGCAAAAAGACCTGAGGGAGCTGGGAAGTGGCTCTAAGACCCTGGTTTAGGTCCTCTGGCACGGTGGCTCATGGCTAAGCAGTGTGGGCCTTCTTTGGGCACAGGGTTTGGTGCAGTTAAATCTGCCCCAAACCATCTCTGCTCTCAGCCTGCTGTGTTTTGTGCAGAAAAACAACACTGTAGAAAACAGAGGATACACCCAGAGCAGGCAGAGACAGAGATGACTGAGGTTCAGAGAGACAGGGATGAGAACGACAAAAAGGAGACGTGTGAAAAATGAGGGGGAACGTGGTGAAAACAGAGTTAGAAAGAGGGCACAGGAGGGAAAATGATTTATAGAGCAATATTAGACCCTTAATGTTGATTTTTTTTTCCACTGCCTCCAGCAAACTGAGAGCAAGATGCACCATGCCAGGGCAGCAGTGTGCTGCTGGGTCCTGAAGTGGCAGCACTCTCACCTGCTTATCTTTAGAGAACAGGCATTTTAAGCTTTCTAAGAGAAAATAAGAAGGTGGTGGAAGTGGGAACACACAGAAGAAAGGGAGAAGAGGGTCAAGAACTTGAGGGAAAAGAGCCCTTATTATGGTTTCTGATCAGATCCATTTTCTGTTTCTTCAGTGCCAACTGTACCTTTCAGGAAATAAAACAGAATTCGATGCTTAAATTCTGCTGGTTGTTACAGACTCCCAGCCTGGGCTGGCGTCAAGGCTGGCACTGGGTTTTTGTTTTCCAGAATGAAGTATATATCTCCCTAAAAATGCCCAGGGGTTTTCTTGCTGCATTTTATTACTTTGTTTGAATTTGAAGTTCTCTGAGACAGTTTTCTGGGGCAACAAATGGGATGTTTTGATGTGGGGTCTTCAAGACCAAGAGGTAGAGATGAATGGAAGCAAAAAGAAATAGGAGACTTGAAATGGGTGCTGCCCAGTTTTCTAATTTTTATTTTTAAATGTCTGGCTGATTTGTCTAGGAATTGACAAGTTCTGATTGAGGTTTTGTCCCTGTTTGGGATATTTATAAATTCTACTCCCATGTGTCCCCTCTGGATCTATTAAGCTGTGAATGCATATTTTAGCTGTGGCCTTTTATCTGGGGCATGTCAGGTCTCTACTCATCACTGCTTTTCTTGAATTTTTTTGGCATTCAATTGTCTTGGAAACATCTCTGGCTCTCTGTAAAATGTGGTTCACATCAGTTGTTGGGATCATACACTGTCACACAAACAGATCCACAGGACAAGGTTGTTTTAAGCTTTGTTTTCATTTAAAGCAAAGCTGAAATTAGAGGGGCAGATGGTGGGGCCTCTGACTTTTTTTCCCCCGTGTCTTCCATACTCAGCTGAACAGAGGTTTAGCACCTCTCAAGGCAGTATTTCCTTTTGGGAAGGGTGAGGCAATTAAATGTGTGAGCAAAAAAAAAACCCAATAAAGCTGGGGGAGGAGCTAATGGGTCATCACCCCTGGCTGCCATGAAAGGATGGGAAGACAATGGTGTGGGCTGTGGAAAGGTCTCATTGCAGTGGTGGCTGGCATGGGTCATCCTGCAGAGTCTGCACGCTCCCAGTGAGCTCATGCCACGCTCCCAGGGGTTGGAATTGCAAAGGAGCAGGTGACTGCAGCTACCAGCTGGTTCCCAGTGACGCAAGAGTGTGCAAATCCAGGCAGATCCCTTGTCAGCACAGTGTGTGCGTGTGCAATTTCTGGGCTTAATCTGCATTCTAAAGTGTGTGTGTCGCGTGTGAGCTTTCTGTGGAGCTCTAGAGCATGTGTGTCATGTGAGGTGAGGCCAGAAAAGCAGATGTCCTGGCCATGCCCCTCCTACTCGGGGATTGGAGGTGCTCAGGGGGAGCTGGGACGCACCTCCTGGACTCACGGAGACAGCAGCAGCTTCTGCAGGTTCAACAGGCCTCTGCCCTTTGGTCAAACAAAAACCTGCAGCTCCCTTTCCAGCACCCATCCCCTTCTTTTGGTTAACCAGAGAGGAGGAGGATGGCCTATACTGAGGAGGACAGGTAAGGTGCTGTGAAACAGGGGATGCACAGGCATCCTGGCTGGAAAGGGGCTGGTGGAATTGCATCGCTTCTCCTCACCTCGTTTTCCTCTCCTTCCTACTGGGCGCTCAATAAATGTCAGACAAAGGCTGCTCAGAAGTAAACATCATATTATTGAAGAGGAATCTGGCCATCTGCCTGTGCCAGGTGCTGGTATTATGAAATATGGCAGCGGTAGGTGACCTTGGGAGGGGTTATGGGCCAGGAGAGACAACTATCTCATGTGGAGAGGCACAGGCTGCGAATACGTATGGCTGCGTGCCCCCAAACCAATGCTTTAGCTGTTTATTGGGATATGTCTGCTTTTTTTTATGTGGATTTGCTTTCAACCAACCCAGGAGCACAATGAGGGTGGGTTTTTTCGTGCCATAAAAGATCTGTCACCGGTGACAGTCCTGTGTTTTGCAACAGAGGCGTTTCCGCAGCGGATGACAGCAGTCACAATAAAGGGGGTTGTGTTTTCAGCTGATCCTGTGATTTAATCCAAAGCCGTGCTACTGAGCACTATTATTAGGTGAGCATTGTTGGAGGCAGAGTAGCTGGAGGGGCCTTTGTGCTACATGTATTAATTCAAGCTGTCAAAAAGCTCGCACGGGCCTCGTGCTCGCCCGGTTCCAGGCTGAACAGTGTGGTTGGTGACCCACAGATGGAGCTCCCCCCCTGCTCCTGCTGGGCAGGTATCTCCCTCGCATTCAGGAATTATCAGTGCTCGCCAGCCCCTTTGATGTGTGCATCTGGAAGGCTTCTGAAAACCAAATACTGCAGGCAGATCAATTTTGGCGTGGCTGTGCTCTCAGCACTAGGGACAGCTCTGACGTGCCCAAAGCCTTTGGGATGGACAGGGCCCTGCCAGGCCCCTGCACGCCGGCTGGAGCTCCATCCAGGCCAGGAGACGTGTGGGGCACTGGAGTTTTAGTTCTTTGGATAAGAAGTATTTTAATATCTTCTGTTTAAGAAGAGAAAAAAAAAAATCCCTGGAACTTGGCACAGCTCAGTCAGTCCCGATATCTTCAGCAGACATCGAGTGATTCATCCCTAAAATTTCTGAGGATGTAGGAATAATATCCATTCTTTAATGTTATTTTGCAAGGGTGTGTGCACCTTTTTTAAAAAAAAAAATATGGAGACAAAGGGGATTATGGTCAAGATGAAGAGCAGATCCTGGTGACCTCATTCTTTTCTCATGCCTGCCACAGGTATGTCAAAAACTTGGGTATTACATATAAATTCTCTTGGTTCCCTTGAATTTCTAAACAAGGATTACAGTTATTCAATGGAGAGATTGGGTGAAATTGTCCATTAATGTATGTAAAGCACTTTTAAAGCTTTTGTCTGGGAGCAAGCGATAATATAGTCAAGTGTAGACCTCATTAATGTCATTTTCACAGCTCCTGCTTATTTCAGGAGCTCATGGTACACTTGGAAAATTCAACAATATGTGACGGTAAATAAACTTCCTCATTTCCAGACTTTTCCTTTGAAAAGTGTTTCAGCTAAGTAGGACTCTTCATTTTAATCCACATATATAGAAGTTATTTCTTCTTATTGGGTTGCAGATTTATGATATTTTCGGGCATTTTTGACATCACAGTTTGTAACTGGGAACATAAGTTTGTTGTACAACACGTTGGACAGGACTTGCAGTAGGAGCTGGACAGCTAGGAGAGGAGAAGCTCACAGAAAATATCTGTGCAGTAGCTACCTACCCTGTCAGTATAAAGGAAGAAAAAACATAGACTTGAGATCCTCTATTTCAGTGTCTGATACCTCAGTTGGACGACTCAGTTGTACACAGGCAGTCAAATCCTCTTAGTCAGTGGCCTGACACCTCCTGGAGTGAGGAGCACCACTGTGAAAGCTTTTCTATAAATCCTCTAAGGCTGCAGACAGCAGCATCACAACATTACTGAGGTTTGCACCTCTGGAAATCAAGAGACTTGGTTAAAAAAAAAAAAAACCCACAAAAAATAAACATTCATGAAGCAGACAGTGAGTGCTTATCAGCATCACAGGTGATGTAAAATTGACTGGAGGCCTCGCAGTGTCTGATTCTCTCACCTCTCAATAAGCAGATCAGCTTCTCATATAGAGAAACTTTTTAGCCCTGCCTGTGTTGGTTCACTCCAGGACCTCGTCCTCTATCTTGTACAGTCATTAATTCTACTCATCAATGGTAACAATCGAGTTGCTACCAAGAACTGCTGTTGGTGCCCCTGCTTTTGAGGAGAGTTTCCAATCGACCTTGGTATTGACTTTCAGGAGGTATCTGCATTGTCCTGTTGGAAACAGGATTATCGGATTATTTCCCTATTGATCATGTTTCAAAACTGTGATTAAAGCACCTGAATACTGGGCTAAGAGGTTAAAAATTGAACTTCTCTCCCCTCCCCTGAGACAGCTGCACGACTGTACAGTGTACACACTAATGCCAGCTTCTATCCCACCTTCTGGCAGGGGGGCTCAGTGCTGGATAAGACTTTTTTTGCCAAGGTATTGGAGCAGTCCCCCTCTTAAATCAGCATAAACTCTGGAGCCCAAATTCCTGGTTTTCACTTGTTTTGATGTAGACTGGTGTCCTTGGGCCTCTTGCCTAGGACTAGGCTGTGCCCCCTGCCCACTCTGTGGGAGAGAAGAGGCTGAGTGAGATCTCCATGTTTATCCTCCTGTGCTGAAGGCACGAGGGATCGAGGAGGTGGGTGTTTGAGGTGTGGTACCAGGCCCTGAAGGAGGCACTGGGAGCTGATGGCACTCAGCACTTACGGAGATTGGCTCCTCCATCTCTGTAGGTGATTCTTGCCCCATGTCTCAGTAGTCAGGCTACTGCAGAGGACAGTGTCTGCTTTTTCATCAGCCCAGCACTCCAGCCATGCTGTTCAGGTGCCTTTGGAGTTCCATCCTCTTGGATTTCCCCATCACAGGCTGCACATCCCCCTGCACACTCATATAGTTTGCAATTTCTCAGTCTAACTGTGCTTTTGCCTTCCTTCGGTAACTCTGGAAAGACCAGAGCCCATCAGAAGCAGGAGTGGTTATGCCTTGTGACATTTCTGTGATCTAGGTATCATTAGCCATTCTTCAATGACAGAATGAAACCAGCAAAGATGATTCAAATGCCTTCCCTGGGTATATACATGAGATTAAAAGCAATGCATCTTCAATAATAGCAGTGAAGCTTCTATTATTATAGCCTTAATGAAATTTCCTTTTCTTTGCACCTTTTCAGGACTTGTATCCTTTGAAGCTTGTTCTTTGAATGGGTTGATAGTCCCCCTGACCTGTTTTCCTTCTGCAGAAACAGCTATGAGGTGTACAAGGAAACAGCAGATTGGTTACGTGCCCAAACCGTCCGGCGCCCAAAAATCGCCATCATCTGCGGATCCGGACTGGGGGGCCTGGCTGACGTGTTGGATAACAAGACAGTCTTTCCCTACGAGGACATCCCTCACTTCCCACGGAGCACAGGTCAGCACAACCCCAGGGCACCAGCGTCCCACCCCTGGGCAGCCCTGCAGCACAGCCTCACACAGATCACTGGAGTCAACGTGCCCCGCTTGGCATCGCCCTGCACGCCAGTCCCTCGGGGCTGAAATGCGTGCTCAGAGTGAAAAAACATAAACACATAGCACAGAAATATGTGTTTATTTATTTATTCGGCTCCCAGCGCCTGCTCTCGCTGCAGAGCAAAGCCATGGCCTGGCAGAGCCCTGTGAAGCCCCAAGGCCTCGAGACCTGTGAGTGAGGTGACGCTGTGTTGGTTTGCAGTTGCAGGGCACGTTGGCAGGCTGGTGTTTGGGGAGCTGAGCGGGCAGCCCTGCGTGTGCATGCAGGGGCGTTTCCACTCCTACGAGGGCTACTCTGTCAGCACGGTGAGTCCTCCTCGAGGAAAACACTCAGGCAGGGGGAGTGTAAAAAAGAAAAAAATAAAAAGGCAAAAAAATGCAAAAGCTTGCTTTGCTATCCAGCTGCACATTGTTAGCTCTCACGATGAACTTACATTGCTCTTGAAATGGGTCTTTCTTAGATTTCAGATTTCTCCCCAGAAAATAAAATTGGGAGTTCAAACCAAGAGGCTTCTGCTGGGTGAAGGTGATGCTGTGCAGCCACACAAATTGGCTAACCCTGTTATACTTGCAGGGGAAAACAGTTTATCATACAAGGCAGATTAATTTACATTCTTTAACTCAGGCAGTTTAATCATGATTTAAATCAGCAACCAGAAAACTCTGATAAGAATAATCTATTTTAATCTTCTTTTGCATTTGTATAGTTTACAGCTTTTTTTTTTTCCCCTAGAAAAAACTCCCTGGCTACTGCAACTTGCTATACCCTCCCAGCTAACATATAGGAGTGTGTGGATAGTTGCATTTATGCTGCCTAACATACACATATGTACATTTCTGTTAGAAAACACCAACAATATTTACTCTCTGACAGTGTTGTGTGTTCTTTTTTTTATTTGGATAGCTTTGAGATTTTCCTGGTGGCTGAGGTTGATTTGTGTTTGGGTATAAACTGCAACATTTGGCACCACTCAGCTTTTTACAGAAAAACAACTATTTTAAAATCACTCAATACATAACTAGTTTTATCAAGACATGTTTGTCTGTTAAAATTAACTGGTTTCTTAAAGAAGTGGTGTCCACAGTTAGGAAATTTTCTGCTCACAGCTCCTCTAGCACTTGAGAGGGAGCAGCTATCACCCCAGTTCCTTTGTGACTCCTCAAAAAAAAACTGTTAACATTTTTTTCCGGTTCCCAGTTTTTCCTTAACTTTGGATTGCACTCCAGGGCTATATGCATAAGTAGTCACTTCAGTCAGCACAGTGGTTTGATCTCTGCAAGACCTTGGCAGTGAGGAAGAACTATCTGCATGTTCTTTCTGTACCACCTTCATTTGACCTTAGCACAACTGCAGGAAGTGTGGGCTTGGATTTTAATGGTCTTCATTACAAGATTAGGTTTTAATATGTTTAAAAACCATTAAAATTCTGTTTAGATTAGAGGAATGTTTAGAATTGGAGAAAGTTGGTTTGTCTCTGTATATAGACCCTTCTTTGCACCCACCAACTGTGATACTACAAATGTTGTAGCAGTAGCTGTCTGTTGGCTGTGATATTCATTGCACACATGCCTTTGGTTCTTCCAGGTCACCTTTCCCATCAGGGTCTTCTTTCTCCTGGGAGTGGAGATCTTGATTGTCACAAATGCTGCTGGAGGACTGAATCCCCACTTCCAAGTGGGGGACATCATGTTCATAAGAGACCACATCAGCTTGTTTGGCTTGGGAGGGCAGAATCCACTGCGTGGACCAAATGATGAGAGGTAAGAAGGCATCAGCTCCATGTTACCAATTAATCCTTTCTTCCTCCAGCCACAGGCTGGGGCTGCCTGTTGTGCCTGCTGACGGATATTTACTGAGAGTAGAGTCTGGCTCCAGGTATGCACAAGGAAGAGTTAAAGCAATAGCTGTGTGTGCTGTGCCACCTGCCCTGCCCTCCCCAAGCACCCTGCCTTGGCTGTTGCTTACTCTTACAAGCCCAGAAGGTTCTGTGCCATGCAAGTAGGCTTCTGATCCTCTCCTGACATGACCAGCTGCACCGTCTGCCAGAGACCCACTGCTGTCTCTTCTTGTCAGCCCCTCTCTCTGCTGGTTCCTGTTAATTGAGCAGTCAGTGAACTGCAGTGTCCCCAGTCTGTGTTTACCAGCAGCCATTTCTGGTGTGATGGAAGGGGTACAAGAGAGGCCAGGCAGTGAGAGCAGGGCAAAGATAAAACCTCTGATCTCCTGATAACCACACTTGTATCCAGGCTGTTAAACTGGGGTGCCATTGTTAACAGAATGGATTCATTGAAGGCATTGCTCTGATGAGAGGAGGTTGTCTTGGCAGCTTCTTCAGAGACCTGCAGAGTGACCTGCTGCTGGTTGAGCTGGGAAGTCAGGTTTCCTGTACTGGCTGTGTGGCAGAATCTTTACCCTGTGGCCAGTGCAGAGAGGGGCTTCCAACATATCCTCACCCCAGACTGCAGTTGCCACTGGGCATAAAGTTGCTTTGAGAGGGATTTTGGACTAGGAGACCTTGAGGTCCCTTCCAACATGAATTTATGATCCTAAATTCTTCCAAGACACCACCAGTCTGGTAGGGTGGAAGGCAACCAGCATGAGCAAGGCTATGCCACTGAGAGGTTACATTCCAGGTGGACCAGTGCTCACAAAGAGAAGCCCTTTGGCTCTCAAATGGGGCTAAAAGGAGTGTGAGGACACATCCACTGGAAATCCAGGCTGAGCAAAGGAAAGCACATCAGTTGTCAGGAAAATCAACATGGAAGCAGTAAAGATCCAGTGCTGTCACAAGCAGGAAAGAAAGAGGCTGGATTGTGATAAGGAGAAAACAGTAGCAAGAATTATTTCCTAACCAAGCTGGCAGGAAAGAAGACTAGGAGACAGCCAGATATGTGAAGCCAGAGGACAGGCTGGTGAAGGAGGTGGTAGTTTATGAGCAAAGAGTGAGTTCAGATAATAAGATGGTTAAATCTGTTGTTGGGTTGGTACCTTCATCCTGAAAAATGGACATGTTTGCCAGGCAGGCATCTGGATTGTCCTTGGATCTTTCCAGAGAGAAAGTTCTGCTGAGAATAAGGTGGCCTGCCTGGCTTTCCCTTAGTTATTTCCTTCCTGATATAACAGCAGCCCCGGCTCCTGCTTGTGGAGAGTCTGAAAGGTGCTGGCAGCTGCCTCGGGAGAAATAACCACTGTGCTGCGATTCCATGGCGAGAGGACAGCAGCCATCTGAAGTGGAACATCTTTACATCTTTGTAGGTAGTGCTGGGGGTTGGAGGAAAGAATGATCAAAAGCAGAGAAGCCACATGGAGCGTTTAAAGCTCTCTGGACTTGCATAATTGCTCTGGAGCAGGAGGAGAAACGCCAATCAAACAACTGCATCTGGACAACGTTCAAAGGCAGCAGAGCTGCCTCATTGCCTCCCAAAGGCAGCTTCCTGGTGAAGACTGCAGTGCTCTGGGAGGTGACTTTTGCACTGCTGACCAAGGCATCAAAATGGGCAAAAGGTCTTTATGAATCAGGTTTCAAAGTATTGCAGAGCTTTAGCTGAGCAAACTCCTAAAATCCTGTCCAGCTGAGCTACCAGGAAGGATTTATCTAAGCACAACAGAGCAAAACCAGAGGCAGTGAAGTGATGTGGAAATAATATTTTTTTAATAAATTAGAGATTGGCTTCTGCATTGCTGGCCATCCTTCAGGAAAGGGAAGCAATTTTCATAGTGATGAATACTTATTGCCTTTGACCAGAAGGGAAAGTTTGTTTTTATTTATATAATATTTATTGTTTATAAAAACAAAATAAGGCACCTCCTGCCCTAAGCATTCAGCTGGAAGAACATGTAAACAAGCAGGAGCTTTAATAGCCTAAATGAGGGACCTGGTCCACTCCTACTGAACTGCACTGGTGAATATGGCTGGGAGTTTATTTTCCAGGTTTCCTCAGTGGCAGCATAACAATCTTTGCCATCTACTCTGCTCTCCATGAGCCAGTAGAAAGATTCACTCCATCAGGATCAGGACTGAGCTGTTATCTTAAGACCTAAGGCAAGCAAGAGACCCAGCCTTGAAGAAGAGGATGAAGGCTACCTAAAATATGGCCCTGGAGCTCCAAGATGTTAGGAGCTGCCTGCTGGGGTGGGCCTTAAATGTGGTGGCTGGTGCTCCATCAGGGCCTGCTCAAACCCCCTCCCTGGGACAGCCTGTGGGACTCTGTGCCTCAAGGAGCCCAAAGGGCAGCAACTGTTCGGTGGACAGTGTTTAAAAGTCACTATGAGCAATTACTGGGGAGAGAGAGAACTGGCCATCAGTGCTCCCTGAGACAAAAGGAATTGATTGACCATTTCAGGAGGGTTTGTGCAGTAAATAAGCAGTGTCAGACCTTCCAACAGCCATAACCTCTGCGTGCTGAGAGTTTTGGGTGATTAGATCTAGCAGAAATGTCATGCCCAGAGAGGTGGTAGATGCCCTGTTCCTGGAAACATTCAAGGTCAGGTTGGACGGGGCTCTGAGCAACCTGATCTAGTTGAAGATGTCCCTGCTCGCTGCAGGGGTTTGGATGAGATGGCCTTTAAAGGCCCCTTCAAACCCCAACTATTCTATGATTCTCTGATTTGAGAATGATCTGATGATAAGGGCAGAATGAGAGAGGCTGCTCTGCCCTTGACATTTCCCCTCTCCCCAAAGGATGAGCACCCCTGGACTCCGACGGGGGGGAAGGTCGCGGTGTCACACGGCCGTGTCCTTTTACTGCCTTGCAGGTTTGGGGTGAGGTTTCCCTGCATGTCAGATGCTTATGAACAGGATCTGCTGGGCCTGGCAAAGGAGAGTGCCCAGGAGCTGGGCTTCCTGAGCTTCACCCGGGAAGGAGTGTACTGTGTGCTGGCCGGGCCCTGCTACGAGACCGTCGCCGAGTGCCGGGTGCTGCAGGCGCTGGGAGCCGACGCCGTGGGTGAGCCCAGGCTGGGCTGGCAGGGTTGGTTGGGCACATGGATTATACAGTTAATTCTGCTCAAGGCTGACTTGCTTCAGTCTTTGAGTCTCTCAAGTCTCCCGGGGCTGGAGAAACAGGCTCTGTGTGTTCCTGCTTCGTTCTGCAGTGGCTTAGTGCAGCTCCTTGGGTGGATCTGCAGAAAGTCCCCGTGCTTACGGCTGCCCAGGACAGGGATGCCAGCACAGCATTGTGTTTGTTTCCCAAACACAAGTCTCTTATGCTCAGATGGCTCCACTTCACCAGAGCTGAGTGGGGCCCAATCAGAAAAAAAGTCTTTTTCTAAATATTTTTTTTTTTTTAAATTCTGACACCGTGAAGATTTTCACTGTGCTTTCTCCCTACAAACCAGCCCTCCATAAGAGTCTTGTTTAGGAACAGTAATCATGGATACCTTCCCAACTATGCACAAGGAAAGTAAGGGCCATGATCCATATGATTCCTCCTGCTTGGCCCCTGGCTCGTGGAAGTCTGTTCATTAATACTTTGCAGATTTATTGTGTGTGAGGAAAGGAGCTCAGCTCCCCTCAAAGCCGTTTTTCTTTGCAATAGGTTATTTAGCTGGGGAAGAGAAGAGCCAAATGACACAGCACATCAGTACTTCCCTCGGCAAGGCTGCAAGCAGCCTGACACATCTTGAGGAGGGAGCTGTGGCTCAGGGATCAAATGCAGGAGGTTTATTGTGCTGAGCAGAGTTGTAACTGTAGTGCTGCAGCTATTTGAGCCTTCTAAGTGTCACAGCTTTTAACTATTGCAGGGCTCAGGAACAGAGAGGTGGGGGGAAGGAGACAAGGGCATGTGCTTTGGAGGTAGGATCGTGGTTTGCAGCCTTGGAGATGTTTTGTTTGGTGTAAATCCTGATTCATTCTGGTCCTTTCCTTTCCCACTACAGGCATGAGCACTGTCCCAGAGGTGATTGTGGCCAGGCATTGTGGCCTCCGAGTCCTTGGGATCTCCCTCATCACCAACAAAGCGGTGATGAGCTATGACAGCCAGGAGAAAGCCAACCACGAGGAAGTGCTGCGCATCTCGGTGGTCCGGGCTGAGGCCCTGCAGAAGCTGGTCACACACCTCCTGGGGAAGCTGGGGGAAAGCACAAACTCTCTGTGACCCCCCAGCCATCCAGCATTCATATCCTAACGTGTGAACACTAGCAAGTGCTGGGGGAGAGCCGTTGGTGGGACTGTCCCCTTCTGCTCTCCTCCCTTTGAATAGACCTTTTTATCTTTGTGCTTTGTCTGAACAGGTGCAGAGGTTTGCTTTGAATCCTGCCAGAATGATCCCCTTGTTAGTAGCCAGTGGCCAAAGCAGGTTGCTGGCACTTAAACACTCTGGCACATTCCCAAGCCCCAGTGTTAGCAATGTGAGCTCCAGCTCCCCCTGGTTCTGCTGTCTCTCTTGGCACAACACCCTCCTGCCCCGAGCCTCTGCTCCCCAATGCCTGTCAACAGTTGGTCCTGGGGCTTGGTGCCTGCTGGGCCTGCTTTGGTGGGGCCTGGTCTGAAGCCAGTGGAAGTCCACAAGAAGACTCTGGATTTTGGATACATGAAACGGGCCAGGCTAAAGGTGAGATCTGCCTGGAACAGGCAATGCTGCAGAGCGAGTGAATTGCAATGGATTTTACAGCTTGGAAAACCACTGCATTCCCATGCATGGGGTTGTGCTCCCTTACCATGCCAGATGGTCTCCCAGAAAGTCCCAACTTTGCTCATTCTTGGCTTCTCATGACCAGCTGCAGAGCTCAGTAGCTGTTTGCTACAATTCAGCTCTCCCCCAGCACCCCTCACACCTCTCTGCTCTGTCTCAATTTACAGGGGATGAAAATGCAGCCCAACAACAAGGCATGACCTATCTGTGCACCATGTAAACATGGCCAAAACAGAAATCCAGGTCCAGCTCTGCCTGGACGTGTTCTTTCTGTTTCTGGATGTCTTGGAGATCAGTAGCTTGAGCATTGGAGATTGGTTCCCTGTTGGTGTCACAGGACAGAGAGATCAGTTTGACCCAGTGTTTCACAACAGCTTTGCTCCAGTGCTGCTTCTCCTGCAGCAGATGTTGGAGCACCAATGGTCTGAGGAGTTTAATAATGTGAAATTACAGTGGAAATATTTTGGAGCAGGTGTGATATTTTTCTGACTTTCCAGGTCCTCTTACATAAAGAAGTTGAGCCAAGCAGTGAGCAAAGGACAAACAGGAGAGGCTCTCTTTTACCAGCGTGCTGATGGTCTATCAAGGAAGGGGAACATTCACCAGAATGGTGCATTATTCATTGTTCCTCAAAGGTCAGGCTGAGCCGTGGATGCAGCTGGATGTGAAACAGTGACTGTAATTATTAGATAACCTTTTTCCCTTCATTTATCTTGGAGTTCTCTATAAAGCCCATCACGGTCATAGTTAAATGTTTTCAGTTGACTCACTGGTCTGAACTGAAGACACCCAACTGGTCATGGAGAGCTCCCAACCTGCCTCCCTAAATTTAGCTGATCAGTTGTTTACCACTGACGCTTGCCCTCCGTCACAGCCTTCAGCCTTCCTTGACATTTCTTCCAGTTTTTTTTTCCAAATGGGTATTTGCTTGAAGCCCTTCATGCTGCAATTACTGGTGTTGACCGCAGCATCCGTGGTGCAGATATTGCCACCAGGAGGAACAGCTGTGCCTTGAATGTCTTCCATGAAATGACAGCACTTCAGGTGTGGGGGAGATCTTGGGTGACCGCCCCGTCCCCTTCTCTTCTCGTGGGCAGGGTTACCTGTGCTCATTCCTGACAAATATCTGCCCAGCCTGCTCTGGAGGACTTGTGGAGGGGGAGGATTCATTGCTTGTGCTTTTCTGGCAGAGTCACTTGTTCAGCAGCTCCTGGAACTTGGAGGAGCCCTCAGAGCCAGCAGCTCTTCCCATTTGGTGGCTCTGACTGTCAGGGCAGTCTCGAGGACCAACTCTGGTGGTTTTCTGCAGAGGGGGAGAGACTCCAACTCCATCTTCCACAGGGCTGTTGCCTTTTCAGATCTAGCAGGAGTGAAGTGCTTGTCACGTGGGGCAGCACAAGCAGCGAAATACGAAAAGTGCCAGATGTGCAGAGCAAGGAGGAGCCACTTCTACCTGCTCCCTTTTCAGACTTGCCTCAGTACGGGCTTGCTACAGGGCAGGGAGAGAGCAGATGATTTCCCCTGCCTGGAAAATGGTGCTTCACATTCATCTAATTAATACTTGGTAAATACAAAGTCTCTCAAGTGGGAGTGGAAGGCAGCTGTGCAGCTCGCTGTAGCTGGCAGCAGCCAGAGTAGCTAAGGCTGGGATTTCAGCAGGCTCCATTAATTAATCAGAGTCAGGCTGGGCTGTGATGTGAAGGGAAGCATCCAAAAAACCCTGCTGTTGTGCTGGTGCTTCTCAGGCGGGGTTTGAGATGAAGAGGGGCTTGGCAGCAGCACCTGCTTCCAGCAGGCTGGGCCTGCTCCTCTCTGCAGCTGTACCGGAGGCAGATCCCCTGCTCTTGTGCCTGAATGCAGCTTAAATGCGACTTAAAATTGAATCTGAAAATCACCCTGCAACTAAATCTTGGGCAAATTATGTCTTTTTTTTTTTTTTTTTTTTTTTTTTTTTTTTTTTTTGTTTTCTAAATAGCATTTGAGCCCTTAAACAGTTTGGGGCTCTTCTTTCTGCTGCTCAGGGTTGGCTTGGATGGCCCAAACTCTGTGTGAGTGTCCTCATTTTTGTCCCTGTAAGTGATGAGAGGGAAGATGCCCTGGGCACTTTGGAAAGGATCTTATTCATGCTTTATGGGGGAGAGGGAGAATACAGTTAACAGAGGGGGCTCGTCTGGCTTTGGGAGATACTTTTAATACAGTTTTTTGAGGTTGTTTTTACTGCTGCTGAATTTCAAAAGTCTGAAATACAATGGTGCAAGGCAAATAAAATGTGTGGGGAAGAAACTGAGGGAATAAAACCTGCTGTGATCCTGAAAACAGTGTTTTTGTTTGCTGTGCCAAGGCCGTTGTGCAGAAAAGAGGGAGGTGCTCAGCACTCCTGCACTCAGCCCCAGGCTGGAGGATGTCCCTGGGGGACCCCACAGCACCACATCCCTGGGGAGCCAGAGCTCAAAACTGTGGATAAGCAGGACCAATGTTTGACCAGCACTTTGTGCAGGTATTTCTTACTGATCCTACCAGGCTGAGGAACTTATGGAAAAAACACCAAGAACCGAAGGACCTGGACTAACTTTTGAGCAGCTGGGAGGTGTGGTGGGCTGTGGTGGTGCCAGTGCAGCAAGTCAGCTGTGCTGGAGGCAGGACACGGGTTCCTTGGTGCTGTGCCTTTTGTTTAGTGCTCTTGGTGCTTTCTGGCAACATCCAGGGCTGAAATGAATAGGTTGTGAAACAACTTTGGCTTTCTTCATTCCTGTCCTCTGTGCCCCTTACCTGCTTCTGCAGTCCAGGGCATTATGGTCATAGGGATAAGCTGGAAGATGCACAAAAAGCTAAAAAACCTGGCAGGTGGTAAAAGAGCCCCAGATTGCATGATGATCCTGGCTGGATTGGGAACGCCACCAGCACAGGCTGTCCCATGCAGCTCTACCCGTGGCAGGGGGATCCATGGAAAACATGTGTCCATGCAGGGCACAGCTGGCACAGCTCCTCCTTTACTCCCTCACAGCCATGGATCCATGAGCCAGTCTGGCCCATCCTCTCTGCCAGCCTTTTCCTTTTCCTTGCTCACCGTTCCAGAGAAAGCTTTTTGGATCATGAGTTCCTGCTGCTTCCAGTCCCCTGGAGAAGATGGAGGTGTTATATGGATGTGGGATCCACATGAAAGTGTGAGGCCAAGAGGAGAAATCTCTGCCAGAGCCCTTGGCTGGACCATATAATGAGTGTTTAAGTAGAGATCTCTGCTGTTATCTGCAAAACAACCTTGCAACCCCAAAAAATTGGTGATGTGATCCATCCTGTTTCCTTTGCAAGGCTCGGTTTTCCAGACTTCCTTTTACATGAGGTTTGCCTTTTGCGTTCTTTCTCATATAAAAGTAAATCAGAAAGCTTTTAAAAGCCTGTGCTGTCTGCCTCAGCTCGGCAGCGAGCGTGTGCCTTGCCTTCAAGTTATCAAAATTCCCTTAGATGTTTCTCTTTATTGAAATCCTGCAGCTGAATTAAGGGGGTTCTGATATAGTACTGTGTTGTTCGGGTTTTTTCTGAAAGCTTTAGGTCTTCACTGCATGGATTTCATGTGCTGAAAAGAATTAAACTCTTGCCTGCCACAGTGAATGTGGAGAGCAGGGGGGGAGTGATGTGGGTCACGGCAACAGGGCTGATCTTGGAGCACTGCTGAATTAAAATCTGACTCTCTCAGCAGCATGGTGGGCTGCAATTTCCAAAATCTGATGGCATGTTCAGAGAGAATCATAAAATATCCTGAGTTGGAAGGGACCCACAAGGATCATTGAGTCCAACTCCTGGCCCTGCACAGGACAACAACAGGAATCACACCATGTGCCTGAGAGTGCTGTCCAAACACTCCTTGAGCTCTGTCAGGCTGGTGCTGTGACCACTGCCCTGGGGAGCCTGTTCAGTGCCTGACCACACTCTGGGTTAAGAAACTTTTTCTAATATCCAACCTAGGAAGTAATTTAAGAGCTGGGACGTGGGTGAAGGCTGGAGGGAACCATCCAGCCTTTTCTCCTGCAGAGGGGACACGCCCTGTGCCCAGACACTCCTGTGGGAGATGGCTTCAAACAGAAGAACAATCATCACTTGCTTTCCTTGCCTGAAGCTTCACAGCCCTCTCTAGAAGTCTTTCTCAGCCTTAGCAAATCCCTTCCTGCAGCAACGAGCCCCTTTTCCTGCCGGCTGCTTCGCAGAGGCAGCTTGGGGAAGTATTTCCCCAGGGAAGGCAGGGAGTGCACCCAGAGCCCAAATTTTGCTCCCAGGTCCCACCTTGGACCAACCTTGTCTCTTTGTTAGCAGAGACCTGGGCATTGTGGAGCAGTGGGTCTGTGATGGGCTGGTGACTCAGAGCCATCCCTGTGCTGGGGCTCTGCTCCCTGTGGAGCAGAAGATGGACCAGTGTCAGGTACCTGTGCTACTTCTCTCCCCAGCCTGGGCACAACTGGAGACACATCCCTAAATCCAGCCCTACAGAGGCAGTGAGTGTCCCCTCTCAGCCTCCAGGAAAAAACTGCTCTGGAGGGAGGGGGATAGAAAAGCAGTGGGCTCGGCTGGGGAAAATTGCTCTGCAATAATGGGAAAAAGAATGTTTTTTTGGGTCTAATCTCTGTGCCAGAGCTCAGGAAATGTGAATGGAATACCCAGGGCACCCTTCAGCATGCCATGTGTGCCTGAAGGCTGTGTTGTGCAACAGGGAGAAGGAGAAGGCCATCTTGCTGCTTGGTGTCCCAGTCTGGCTCTCCTCGTGGGATGCTGGTG